TCTTTTGAGGGAGAGTCTGTCTGGAGGGGGGGAAGGGGCTTGGTAATTGGGCAGGACAGTGACCTTTAGCAGGGTACAGAGGCGGTGTCAGGTCCAGCATCAGGACACATACACAGTGCAGTCACTGGTTACCCTGGTCAGTCTGGGAGGTGTTTTTCATGTTCTCCATTGAAATAACCAGTCCACCAGTGCGGAGCCTGTCATTCCGGGAGTTTAGAAGCATCATTTGCATCAGAACACTGAACCCGCCCCCCGCCACAGTCTGCGTCCCCGGTTTAAAATATTCCCGCGAAAACAGCAATACAGACAACGCTGTTCATTAACAAAATCGAAATGATTTTATTTTTTGGGAAGGGGAAGGGGGTGAAGGGGGTATGTAACTGGAGAGGATAGTCAAAATGAACTGGGTAAAGAAACGGGGGCAGGTTCAGCTTCTCTGTCCACAAACTGAAAAGTCACTGGTTGCCCTGCTCACTCAGGAACCTAGCTTTCAAAGCCTCCCGGATGCACAGGGCGTCCCGCTGGGATCTTCTAATGGCCCGGCTGTCTGGCTGGACGTAATCAGCAGCCAGGCTATTTGCCTCTAGCTCCCACCCCGCCATAAAGGTCTCCCCCTTGCTCTCACATAGATTGTGGAGCACACAGCAAGCTGCAATAACGATGGGGATATTGGTTTCACTGAGATCACAGCGAGTGAGTAAGCTTCTCCATCTCCCTTTGAGACGGCCAAAAGCACACTCCACCACCATTCTGCACTTGCTGAGACGGTAGTTGAACAGTTCTTTTTCTGTGTCCAGGGCGCCAGTATAGGGCTTCATGAGCCAGGGCATTAGCGGGTAGGCTGGGTCCCCGAGGATGACTGTAGGCATCTCCACATCCCCAAGAGTTATTTTGTGGTCTGGGAAGTAAATACCTTCCTGCAGCCGTCTAAACAGACCAGAGTTCCTGAACACACGAGCGTCATGAACCTTGCCCGGCCATCCGACGTAGATGTTTGTAAACCGTCCCCGATGGTCCACCAGTGCTTGCAGCACCATTGAAAAGTAGCCCTTTCTATTGATGTACTGGCTGGCCTGGTGGTCCGGTCCCAGGATAGGGATGTGAGTCCCATCGATAGCCCCTCCGCAGTTTGGAAATCCCATCGCGGCAAAGCCATCTATGATGACCTGCGCGTTTCCCAGGGTCACAACCTTTGGGAGCAGTACCTTCACGATTGCCTTGGCTACTTGCATGACAACAACCCCCACGGTAGATTTGCCCACACCAAAGTGGTTCGCGACTGACCGGTAGCTGTCCGGCGTTGCAAGCTTCCAGAGGGCTATGGCCACTCGCTTCTGGACAGTGAGGGCTGCTCGCATGCGGGTGTCCTTGCGCTTCAGGGCAGGGGACAGCAACTCACAAAGTTCGAGGAAAGTCCCCTTCCGCATGCGAAAGTTTCGCAGCCACTGGGATTCATCCCAGACCTGAAGCACTATACGGTCCCACCAGTCCGTGCTTGTTTCCCGGGCCCAGAATCGCCGTTCAACAAAATCCACATGCCCCATTGCCACCGTGATGTCCTGGGCGCTGGGGCTCGTGGTTTCTGACAGCTCTGTGCCACTCTCCGACTTCAGGCTCTCACGGCGGTGCCGTAGCCTCCTCGCCCGATTTCTCTGCATCTGCCTCAGGGAAAGGTGTATGATAAGCTGCGAGGTGTTGAGAACGGCCACAAGTGCAGCGATGGTCGCAGCGTGATCCATGATCGCAGTGCTGTGGCGTCCGCGCTGTCACTGACCAGAAAAGTGCGCGAACTGATTTCCCGCCGGCGCTTTCATGGAGGGAGGGAGGGCGTTAGTGACGGACGGATGACGACAAATTTTTTTTACCCAGAAGGCATTGGCGGCTCGACCCAGAATTCCGATGGGCAGCGGGGACTGCGGGAACTGTGGGATAGCTGCCCACAGTGCACCGCTTCCAATATCGACGCTCGCCCCGTTAGTGTGGACTCACAAAGTCGAATTACTGTCCTTAGTGTGTCCTTAGTGTGGACACACACGTTCGACTTTGCAATATCGATTCCACATATTCGATTTAAGTAAAATCGAATTACCCTCGTAGTGTAGACATACCCTAAGACTAAAATCCAACTTGACAAACTAGTCTTTTGTCCAAAGAAGTTTTCTCACCATGGTCACTCTTGCAGCATGGTTGGCCAGTCCTTAGCCAGGGTCCAATATAGAGCCCAAAGTGCTTGGTTTCTTTGTCTTCTCAGGTGAAGGGTGACAAATTGGCTTTTTGCCTCAGTTTATATTTTACCAAAGTGTATTTACCATGTTTCAAAAGGCAGGAAGGCTTTCTATGGGTGCAGGCTCCATCCCCTGTTGAGATTAAGTGATCAGCTTCCCCCCACTTGCTTGTCTGATGGCTTTGTTTTACCTTGCACGTAAATGGGCCTTTCGTTGTCTTACATCACGCCTCGCTTAATTTACATTGGAGGCACAGTCAAGGCTGTGAAACAACATTCCTTTGTCTAGGACAGGATGAATTCATGCTCTGCCTCCCAAACACCTCTTAAGAACATATTTCCAGCACATATCTGTAACTTTATGTATACAATCCATTTATATGTCATACAATGATTTTCAGGATCAGCGTATCACCAGTTTACACGACACCTTTGAGATACATACTATGGAGCAATGAGTGTTTCAGGCTCGATATAAGTTACAATATGGGGATCCCTCTGCCAGTTAGCATTCAGGGGCTCCCAGAGTCACACTTCCCTGCTTATAATGCTGCAGGAGGGTTAGCCACTGGCTGAACCTTAGGCCTATTATTGATCCTTCTTTCCTGGCTGGGAGAGAACCTGTTTCTCTCGTTGTTTGATCACAGACTTCAAAGCATAATATCAGTAAGTATTCATAATTCCTCATATAATGTTAATGCATACATTTCAGAATGGTATCAATCACCTTTGGTCACTGGCTTTCATAAAAGACCTTACTCAATATTCTTTTATATAGTACAATAATATAATGTACAATCAGTTGATTCAATTGCTTATTCTTTATGGTTCAGACCACTTGGTCTTCCCTCTGGGATGTCTGGACCCTGATTGTCAGACCAGAAAAATACATAGATATTTCAACCTATGGAAGCTTAACCTGCAGACAGACAGGTTTAATAAAATGAGACAGAAGATCAGATTTCTCTAAATCTGACTGTCCCTTTAATGGTGTTCCATCAGTCCAGCAAAGGAGGTATTAATGCAACAACCAATCACTACCACAGTGGTGTATTAGAGATGTAGAAACATGGTTAGCTTACACAGAGATGAATAGGCTTCCAAAATGAAAACATCTCCAATATTTTTAACATCTCAGGTGAGGTATGTTACACTGATACCTGTATTTAAGTGTCTTGTTAGATTTTGTTTTTAAACCTCATAAAGGTTTATGAAGACAGGCATTACGCTGTTTAAATTCCATAAATCCGTTGTTACCTATTCTTTAGTCTAGGGAGATTTCCCCCCCAATAATGCAGCACTGAAAGAAATCTTATATAGTATTTTATATTAAAAATGTGTAAATTGAAACCATTCAAAATTAATATTTTTCATTTTACTTTTAAAATTTAGGGATTTTCACATTTGTAACACTTGTTGAAGGAGATTGGCAAATAAAAATACACATTTTTTTCCATTCTTTGAAACTACTAAATAAATCGTTATAATAGCCAGGAATACTTTGTATCATGGTGAGAAACTGATACACTAGTAGTAGCTTTTTCATTTACACCAATTTGATTAAAACATTATCTGCATTTTAATTAATGAATGTAAAGCTGTATTTGCAAGCTAAAGTTTTGATTAAACAGAAATACTCTCTTGCTAAAAATTTGTTGTTTTCACAGCATAGCAAAATGGTAGGTTAAAATTGTTTAATGCTTAAATTCCAGGTTAGGGTCATTAACATTTTCAGAATTTTTTTCATTAACAAGTCTATTCATCCTTGGCAATCAGCAGGTTTTTTCATAATTACGAATGTGTGTTATTTTATTTTGATGTATTACAGTTACAAAGGCATGAATTATTTAGAGATCTGAAACAAGTTAGAAGTGTGGGTTTGTGATGAATATTTCATGATGAGCATGTGAAGGTAGAAATGCAGAGGCCTTCTCTTATTAAAAACTTTTTAACTGAGTGTGGAAAAAATGAAAAATCACTTATATTGCCTTTTGCTTCCTAGACAAAATGGAGAATTTGATAGACTTGTCAGACTGATTTATAAACATATCTTTTACAGGGTGGTTATATATAGTTTTTGTTCTGAAAAATATCAATTTTTAATGTTTCTCCGAGTTTTTTATGCTTTGTCTTGTTTGCAGTATAACTGTATAATTTGCTAATTTTTAACAGATTCTGAAAGAAAGAGGGATTCTTTGCTGCAGCTAAATAAGGTTAAAGTAGAAGTTAATGAAAGCTATGAGATGCTACAGTGCAGTGACATTGCCTCAGTACTTTAAAATTTTATATTAGATATATCTTAATTGAAAGAAATTTGTTCTGGTATGACTGTTGTCATTTTCCCTTAACAAGTCCCTAGCTCCTTTAGTCAAGTTTCATGATGGATGAATAGTCCTAAAATACAGCAGGTCACCCAATATTTGCCCACGGCAGGGCAGGAACTAAAGAGTCACGCTTCAATTGCACAGAATGGAGCAAAATGCATCTGTCCTCCTTCTCTTTTAAATGCAGAGATATGACTCACTTATGCTGTAGGTGCCAGCTCCATTGTCATCCAAGTATCCACCATATTAAAGATGAGCGCAGCTGGGACCCAAATTGTAGTATGCTGTGGGCCTCAATTTGGCAGTCCCTGAAATACAGGCTCATCACTAATGTGTTTTTTATGGATGTTTTCTGGATGCCTAATAACAAGTTAGTATTCAATCTATGTATATTTTTAACTTCCTAAATAATAAAATGTAAAAAGTTAGTATTTCTGTCTTATTTTTCTTAGTTAGATCGATTCAAGGAACCACCTGCATATGGACCTATGTGTGATATCCTGTGGTCAGATCCCCTAGAGGACTTTGGAAATGAGAAGACTCAGGAACATTTTACTCACAACACAGTTAGGGGGTGTTCATACTTCTACAGGTAGGGTCATTTCCTTAATTAATGATTCTCTACTGACTAGATGAACAATTGGAATCATGGATGTTATGTGCTTGCTTGAAATCTGCACCGTTCTTCTAATCATAATAGTGTGTGTTTGGGAGTGGGGCCTATATTGTTGCATGGGCTTTGTTTTATTTTCAGTTCTTTGTTTGCCATTGCTGAATTGCTCTACAATTTCTGGAAATAATGTTGACTTTTTAATTAGAGAAGTTTTAAGGTAGGTTTGAATGTTGGTCATTAAAATATCTTGCCATCCACTGTGCTGAAATGATAGTTAAGAGTTGATATGAAACATGCGTGGCTCCTAAATTTAAGACTTTATACTAGGAATCTGACATAGTTGTGATAATTTGAGTTTAGAATTAAATTCTTTGCTGCTTGGTCAACTTCGGAGCTGAGCAAATAATTTAGACAATGAATCTTGAATCTTTTTCTGTTCTGTACCTATAAGCAATTGTGATTTTTTTTTTCCAAATATTTTGCAAACTTTTAACACTCGGTCAATTTGATTGTGAACAGTTCTCTGTGATAAATTCATGATATGAGTGTTGGTTAATTGTGGTTGGTCAGATACAGTACAGGATATTATATTTCTTCCCTGGCTGAATGAGTACACCAGCACTTCTGGTGCACCTTTCCATGGTTTTGAATTTAATTTTGATTTCTATGCATATAGCTTTGAAATTGGCTTTCCAGGAATGTTCATGCCAGTGAAACTTAAGTGTGCAACTATTCCTGGAAGGTGAATGCAAAAGGGGTACAAATGCATTTGAAAACCAGAGTGAATATTTGAAGAAAAATATGTTCAGTGTTTTCCCAGCTCTAATCCTTCTATTCCCTTCTTGGAGAGTTCTTCTTTCCTGTCCCTACACAAGTGGGGGTGGGGGGGTGGGAGAACAGTAGGCTGTCTTTTTTCCACTCCTAGCCTGTTTGAGGCAGCCAGTGTAATCTTTTTTTCTCTCCTTATGAAGAGAAGGGGGCCTTGTTAGGGGTTCTGTCTCCATTTCCCTTTCCACAGTGTGTAATGGGCCACAAAAATACCACATCTTCTGTCAGAGCAGGTGCTTTGCTAACTATATATTTGTTCTCAGCATCAGACCCTATGGCATGGAGTATTCTTGGAAGCATTTTCCCACAGAAAATAGTCTAAAGAAATGTTTTTGAGATTGTCCTGTTGAAACTTTCAAGACCCTGTACTTCAAGCCCCTGGGTAATCCATGGTATTTGGGTCTTTGTCTTCTGTCATGTCACCAATGCCATGACCACTGGGCTTCGATTCTGAGAACTCCCTTTTTGTGGAACTCTCATGTTGTGCTCCAGTGGCATTAATTCTCTAGGAGCAGCTTAGAATAGGAATATATCAGAGTGACAAAATTTGGCAGAAGGAGAAAGTGATAGTGTGAATGGTGCATTTCATTAAAATTTTACTAGGACGTGGGTGGGACTTCCTTGCTCAGATGATTGTTAATCGAAATGAAAGGTTCCATATCCTGGCTGACCAGTTCCACTTCACCCCAGGGTTAGCAGTGTCCAAACTTGGGCTTTCCGAAGAAGCTCAATGAGAGTTTGGCACTCAGTTCCCATAGGTTCCTTTGAAAACCCTTTCTCAAACATAATTCCTATCTCACAGCTGTTTGGGAACCTTTGTGCAGTGAATTGGTAGCCTCAGTCCATGTCTAAAAGCCACAGCCAGGATCCTTTGTGGCACTTTTAGCAAAGAGGTGAAAGATGGACTGCACCATGGAAACTAAATTCCAGTCTCGTCCACAGCGTTTAACCCTCTAGAGCAAGGGTGGGCCAGTATCAGAAAGGATGAATTGCTGCTGCCCTTGCTGTTCTGGTTCTGTGGTTAACTGATGCTGCAGTCTTCACATCTATAAATTCTGACACTACCCACAGCTACTAAATTCATACGGATGTCTTGCTTTTAGAGAGGATCAGCTCAAATGCAGATGGGGCTGGGGCTTTTTGTTCTGTGTTTGATTAGTGCTTAACACAACGGGGTTTTAGTCCATGACTTGGACTCGTTGGCACTACTGCAATATAAAAGGAATAATAATAATTTCCATGTGACCTGTGATGGTTCCTGGGGATACCGAGGGTTGTGAGGCACCTCACCATCTCCTGCCCTTAGCATGAAGAAACCTTGTCTGTGCCTGTCAGGGTCAGCTCTCTGACCCCACCAGCTACTGGCAATAAAACCATTCCCCTCCAGGCCTACTCAGGCCCTATTGTCTCTTTACAGGTACCAGTAGGCATACTCCAACCCTCGAGTCCTCTGAGCTTCACCCGCAGTGTCCTGCCCCTGATCTATTGGATACTCACAGAATTACCAGATCTGCTGTTCCCAAAGGAAGTACATACCACAGCTTACTGGTTACACCTTAGCCCACAGCACTTACATTTCTTTATAGAGAAAGCAAATATAAGTTTATTTAACAAAGAACAGAGATTCAAATCATAGCAAGCAGAGCTATTGGAAACAAAGGGTTACACATAAAATAAAACAATAATGTGCATACTAGAGCCTAAACTTAACTAATAGGACATTATGCTATAAGAGTAAAAGCTCACCTAAAATCCTTCTAGCATATTACAACCAGGTTTGGCTGTGATGTTCCATTCATAAACCAACCCCACTGTCAGCTTACTTCCTAGATGAAAGATGCAGAGTTTGTCTCTGTCTCTATAGTTATAATCCAAAAATCCATTCTCATGACTTATAAACAGGATGACAACCCTCCCCACTTTCCGCTAGTTGATTTTTCCTGTGTGCTTCTTTCTTCTTTTTTACAATCTCTTATTAACATTCAGCTCAGACTCTAGACAGGCTTCCATTGCGAAGCAGACAGTACACACATGACCAGACAAAGAGGGATAGGCATCTCTTCCCTCCTGCCTGACAGGAGTAGGTGGATCATCTTCTGGTGACCTGCCTTAACTCATAGACCTTAAGAACATGATTTTCAGTGTATATACGTAACTCCTTATGTATTATCAGTATATACATTTCAAAATGATTGATGACCAGTGTGACACAGGCTTTCATTAAAGACCTTACATGACACTTTTCAGTGAACTAGTATGTAAATACCAGACTCGTAGACACCAATCCCCTTATGCACCTCTATGCCCTCTGCCAATTGGCACCAAGAGGTCTCTGGGTCACACTGACCTTTTTTAAACAATTGTGAAATGTTACTGCACATGGTTAAGGGAGCTGTCAGGCAGACTAGCTGCCTATAGTTTTCACTTTTTCTTTCAGATCAAAATTTCTCAAATTTGACATTTAAATTTCTCCCCTAAGATAAGACGTAGATATAGATATATACTGAAAATTTTAAAGATAAAGTCTTACTCCTGTTTGAAGAGAGAAAAATAGTACCAATTGGGAAGATAACTTTCAACACATAAGAGCAAATCTTAAATTTTCTTTGTTGGTTATTAATTTCCTCTTAGGACTCAGCCTACTTCATGCTGAACCTTTCCATCCCCCAGCCTTGTTAGGAATATACGAGTTGCTGCAGAAGAATACACCTAGGTTCTGGCTAGTCTGATATCCTGGCTCCAACAATGCTAAATGTTCTAAGTGGTGGTGAAAAATACTAATACGGTGCCTAATTGTGCAGTACTATACAATTCGAAGGAAACTTCTTCCCGACACAAGGAGGTGTCATCTGTATCCAAGCTAGTATAATGGTAGTTGCCATTCCTGTAACTTTGTCACAAGCATTTAAGTCTTTTTTGATATTTACTAAGCCCAGTGATAACCTGTGGCAGTAAATCCTTATGATAGTTATGCGCGATGTCAAATTTTACCTGCGTTTTGTTGCAGCTCTCCAAGAAGAAGTGAGAATCTCTCCAAAACACAACTTCACAGTTAGAAAAACAATATCAGTCCATTAACAGGACTAGGTTTCTTCATTGTAAATCAAGTTTATGCAAAAGTTGCATCCAAAGTGGAAAGGCCAGGGATGGAAATTGAACGATAAAGGTCAAGAAGAATTCAAAGACGTGTGAAACCAATATAATTTCTTCTAGGTTAAGAAATGTTCATTGATGATAGGAAATAATATTGTAAGAAATTCACATTTATTTAGACATATTTGCTATAATGGCAATTTCAAGTGACCTTTCTGTGATTTAAGATTATTTCCCACAGTGAAATGACATGAGATAGATGACCTTAGCAGTTAATGTAGCTTTCCAGCCCAGTAAATCTACTATATTCAGCCAAATCCTGTGTACTTATCAAGCCTTTAGTCATCTTAGGAAATAGTTTCAATGCACATGAAAAAGTTGAAAGAGCTTAATTTACAGTACCCTGATAATCTTTCTTTCCACATTTATTAAGTGGACAAATTGGTATGGCCCACTGAATTTAAAACTGCTCAATGTTTTCCTTTAAAAAATCTCAAGTGTAAAAGATCTTAAAACCACTACAGCCAACACTGTCAAATGATGGTGCCTATAACTCAGGATCTAAATCCACTTATGTGGAAATAGGCAAAATAAGTTGACTTTTTTCAGAGTTGCTGAGCACCTGCAGCTCCCTCTGTAAAGAGGACGTTTAATAAATATTTTGCATCCAACAGATTTTGGTATGTTGGTTAATGTGTGGTTTTTAGAAACTGGAAACATGAATGGAAAGTAGCTACTGTGACATTGTAGCCACAAATACATAATGCCCTTAAATGTTAGCAATGTCTTCTTCCTTCTCCAAAAAACAGCTACCAATGTGATCTGTTTTCTTCTGTGCCTCCTAAACTTTAAGCATATATGTCTTCTTCAGTCAAGTTAGCTAATGTCAAATCAAGAGAAATCAAAGTACTGATTTAAAGAGGTGTTAACTATGCAGACTAAAATTTATTCAAGTATTGTTTTTAAAAATTAATAAGTCATGGCCAGATTTCACCACCCTTACTCACATTGATAGTACCTCACTCTGTGAATACTACTGAGTAAAAATGACAGAATCT